AGAAATTTGTTATGTGAGCCCTCATACCACCATTCTTTCCTTGGTTCTTACATTTTTAAAGGCCCTATTTATTTTAATACTTGGAAATTATAACTGAAAGTTATATAACTATATAAATAGAAACAACACTTTTTGTAATACAGTATTTCCATACGTTGTGATTTAAATATGATACCGTTTATATATATATAACAATGATAATATATTTTTATTTATTTTTTAGCACTTTAGATCTTATACCAACCTTGAGTTTATTCATGTTCTTATTTTGATCATATTCAAATTTAAAAATATAATTTAAATTACTTTCAGTATTTTTGTATAAGAAGAAATTTGGCAGTTGATCACTTTTGGCTGTTTTGATAACTGAATCTCATTCTAATCTCTTGTTCTTTCTTTTTAATTGATTTCTTTTTCTTTAATTAAAGAGAAAATGCAGTTGTTTCTCAGACATCATAAATTTATCATAGAAAATGATGTCCCATTTTGTTAAGCATCGTCATGCAGTGCTTTGAAAAGAACCACATTTCTCATTGTTTACATGCATTTTGCTATTTCCTTATCTCTTGGTTCAGATTAGTTCTGATTCAGTGTATGAATGTCATATTCTTCTCATTCCTGAGCTCTCTTTCCATCTGAACATTTTTTCCAAACCCAGCATATTTTAAAATAAAGATATGTGATAATTTCAGAATTTTTTCTCTTTATGATCCTTTGGACTGTAGCCCGCCAGGCTCCTTTGTCCATGGGACTGTCCCAGCATGAATACTGGAGTGGGTTGCCATGCCCTCTTCCAGGGGATCTTCCTGACCCAGAGATCGCATCCTCATCTCCTACATCTCCTGCATTGGTAGGCAGGTTCCTTACTGCTGGCACCTCCTGGGAAGCCCAATGATTTCAGAATGTTTTTGTTACAGATACAGTTTTTCACATGTTAGTTAGTCTCCTATTTTAGGAGAATTGATTGAGAGCATGGTTAATACTTTTTATTAATAGGAAGGGGTGTAGTCTGAAGGTGTTAAAATGTAGTTATTCAAACAGAAAGTATTGACTATAGCTCTCTGTACTTCTAGGGTGGAGCATGCAGTGTGTGTGCTTCTGCTCAGCCATGTCTGACTCTTTGCGACCCTATGGACTGGAATCCTCATGCAAGAACACTGGTGTGGGTTGCCATTTCCTACTCCTGGGCATCTTCCCCATCCAGGGGTTGAACCTGTGTCTCGTGTGCCTTCTGCATTGGCAGGAGGATTCTTTACCACTGTACCAAATTACATACATTCCTTGTGAAACAAAATCAATTTTTATTAGAGATTTGTCTAAAATAAGAATGATCACTGAATAAGTACTTTAGAATCTCCTCAATGGGTAAATTTCAGACTCTTATTTTGATAGTTTTTCCTCAGGTTTTATTATTTATATCTTGTATTTCTATTTATATTCTTAATGGTTAGCTTACCATGTTAAATAAGCTTTAATAGTGCTGGTTTGCCTTTAAATTTAAGTGTTTAAAAGTCATATAACACTTGTAATATGCTAGGATGAAAGACAGATAGATAGATAATTTCATGTGCCTCTTTGAGATATTGGGTCACCACTGATAAGCCATGGGTGTATTTTGCAAAAATTATATCCACACTTCTAAAGGAACTCATTGTTTCTGGAAAATACCTCCTGAATTTCAAGCAAGCAAAATTACAAATGAAATTTTAGATACAGAATTGTTTTTAAGTTCGCTTGGTTGATAAAATAAATTGTTTATTTGTGGAATTTTAAAGTAGAAAGTATATGATGTAACAGCCCAGTAGACTGGGAAAAGTGGCTATTCTGTTAGAAACTATACTAATTGAAATTCCACCAGTCTTGGTTAGATAGCTCTCTACATTCAACAAAAATAAGAAGCTGCAAACTAGATGAGTTAAACAATCATATTATAAATCATTGAAGTATGGTATCAAGAATAGAACATTTATTCACTAAAGAAAACAGCTTATCATTTCCATTGTACCTTAATAAAAATGAGAAATTATGATGGCTGGTATGTTTTCCCAAAAAGAACGTAAGGTTACCAAAATGTGTTTTTGTTTATTGAAATTTGTTGTAAGTTTCATTAAACAAAATATACTTACAATCTAAATTGTAATATAAAAGTATGTGATATTAGATTTATAAATAATGACAATGCGAACTAATTTCAATGTGCTCAAATATTTTTACTGAAACTTAAAGAAAAGGATAAACAAGGTTTTTCTTTTTTTTTTTTTGACAATCACAATGTAGTTTTTTATTTACATTTGATATACTTAAAAACATACTACTTTTTCTTTCATTTATTTTTATTAGTTGGAGGCTAATTACTTTACATCATTGCAGTGGTTTTTGTCATACATTGAGATGAATTAGCCATGGATTTACATGTATTCCCCATCCCGATCCCCCCTCCCACCTCCCTCTCCACCCAATCCCTCTGGGTCTTCCCAGTGCACCAGGCCCGAGCACTTGTCTCATGCACCCAACCTGGGCTGGTGATCTGTTTCACCCTAGATAATATACGTGTTTCGATGCTGTTCTCTTGAAACATCCCACCCTCGCCTTCTCCCAGAGTCCACAAGTCTGTTCTATACATCGGAGTCTCTTTTTCTGTTTTGCATATAGGGTTATCGTTACCATCTTTCTAAATTCCATATATATGCATTAGTATACTGTATTGGTCTTTATCTTTCTGGCTTACTTCACTCTCTATAATGGGCTCCAGTTTCATCCATCTCATTAGAACTGACTCAAATGAATTCTTTTCAATGGCTGAGTAATATTCCATGGTGTATATGTACCACAGCTTCCTTATCCATTCATCTGCTGATGGGCATCTAGGTTGCTTCCATGTCCTGGCTATTATAAGCAGTGCTACGATGAACATTGGGGTGCACGTTTCTCTTTCAGATCTGGTTTCCTCGGTGTGTATGCCCAGAAGTGGGATTGCGGGGTCATATGGCAGTTCTGTTTCCAGCTTTTTAAGGAGTCTCCACACTGTTCTCCATAGTGGCTGTACTAATTTGCATTCCCACCAACAGTGTAAGAGGGTTCCCTTTTCTCCACACCTTCTCCAGCATTTATTGCTTGTAGACTTTTGGATAGCAGCCATCCTGACTGGCGTATAATGGTACCTCATTGTGGTTTTGATTTGCATTTCTCTGATAATGAGTGATGTTGAGCATCTTTTCATGTGTTTTTTAGCCATCTGTATGTCTTCTTTGGAGAAATGTTTGTTTAGTTCTTTGGCCCATTTTTTGATTGGGTCATTTATTTTTCTGGAATTGAGCTGGAGGAGTTGCTTGTATATTTTTGAGATTAATCCTTTGTCTGTTGCTTTGTTTGCTATTATTTTCTCCCAATCTGAGGGCTGTCTTTTCACCTTGCTTATATAAGTGGCAGAATTCTTGTATATAAACACAGAAGTGAAGATGATTCAGTGATCTAGCTCAGGGGAAAAACCGAGGTGTTGCCAATTCTTACAAAGGCTTTTTGCACCATTTTTGCCTCTCTGTTAAGTGCCATTCAAACTGTTCCTAAAACGTATCTATACACTCCTGCCTCAGGGATTGGTACTTACTGTTTCCTCTTCACTATCTCACCTCTAAGATGTTACTTATATGTCAGAACCTCAGAAAGGCCTTCTCTGTCCACACTGTAATTGCAAGCCTCTTCCCCCATCTTTCTGTCTTATTTTTTTCCATTATACTTTCTACCATATTGTTCAGTTGAGTAATTTACAATTTTTATTGCCTCTCCTCACCCTAAGTAAGATCCTTTGTTCAGTTTGTTCACTACTGCCATCCTAGTATTCAGAATAATACTTAAGTGTTTCTTGAATAAATCTAAGTCTTATCTACATATGCTGCTGCTACTAAGTCACTTCAGTCATGTCCAACTCTTTACAACCCTATGGACTATAGCCCATGAGGCTCCTCTGTCCATGGGATTCTCCAGGCAATAATACTGGAGTGGGTAGCCATTTCCTTCTCCAGGGGATCTTCCCGACCCAAGGATTGAACTCATGTCTCTTTTCTCTCCTGCACTGACAGTTGAGTTCTTTATCACTAGTGCCACCTGGGAAGTCTATGTACACATTTTCTATCAAAATAGACATGTAAATATTTAATTGAATACTGAAAAATATACTTCAATTTGTGACAAATTGGATGTGAAGACAAATGGTTAACTGGAGTACATTTATCATTGGTCTAGTTATTTGATTACATAGTAGATGCTATTTTAGGTTGATTATAGAGTACTAGTGGAGAAGGAAATGGTTACCCACTTCAGTATTCTTGTCTGAAAAATCCCACATACAGAGGCGCCTGGTGGTCTACAGTCCAGGGGATTGCAAAGAGTAGGATACGAGTCAGCAACTGAGCATAGAGTACTAGAAACCATTTAAAGTTCTTTACATATATTAATTAGTCCTTCACAACAAACCTATGAAACAGGTACTATATGATAAGCTTCATTTTATAGTGGAGGAGAAAAGTGAAAATGAAAATGTTAGCCATTAACTTCGTCATGTCTGGCTCTTTGTGACCCCATGAACTGTAGCCTACCATGCTCCTCTGTCCATAGAAATTCTCCAGTTAAGAATACTAGAGTGGGTGGCCATTCCCTTTTTCAGGGGATCTTCCCAACCCAGGATTCAAACTAGGGTCTCCTGCGTTACAGGCTGATTCTTTACCATCTGAGCCACCAGTGAAGTTAGAGGATAAATAAAGTGTCCCTCGATGTTGCAACTAACATGTAAGAATGTAAGATTCATACTAGGACAGCTGGTATGTTCAGAACCCATTCTGAGATGAAAGTCTCCTTGTTGAAATCCTGCGCCACTGTTGCTTTGCTTCACTTGTGTCCTTTTTATTCTTTTTTCTTTCAGTAAAACAGAAAATGTTGAAGGTAATCATAGATGTTTAACCACTGTGGTTTTATAATCATTTATTTTTTTTTCTTTTTTGCAGTGGGATGCCATTACTGAAATGGATGAACACAACAGGCCCATTCACACATACCAGGTATGCAATGTGATGGAGCCAAACCAAAACAACTGGCTTCGTACAAACTGGATCTCTCGTGATGCAGCTCAGAAAATTTATGTGGAAATGAAGTTCACACTGAGGGATTGTAACAGCATCCCGTGGGTCTTGGGGACTTGCAAAGAAACGTTTAATCTATATTATGTGGAATCAGATGAGTCCCATGGAATTAAATTCAAGCCAAGCCAGTATACAAAGATTGATACAATTGCTGCTGATGAAAGTTTTACCCAGATGGATTTGGGTGATCGCATCCTCAAACTCAACACTGAGATTCGTGAGCTGGGGCCTATAGAAAGGAAAGGATTTTATCTGGCTTTTCAAGACATTGGGGCATGCATTGCCCTAGTTTCCGTCCGTGTTTTCTACAAAAAATGCCCCTTCACTGTTCGTAACCTGGCTGTGTTTCCAGACACTATCCCAAGGGTTGATTCTTCCTCCCTGGTTGAAGTAAGGGGCTCCTGTGTGAAGAGTGCAGAAGAGCGTGACACTCCTAAGCTCTATTGTGGAGCTGATGGAGATTGGCTGGTTCCTCTTGGAAGATGTATCTGCAGTACGGGGTATGAAGAAATCGAAGGTTCTTGCCATGGTAAGAAAAGCACATTTAAATAATTATTCATGCACTCAAATGATGGCTTTTTTCAACATACATATATCCACTTTCAGTTAATACATTTTTGATTATTATTCCTGGAAGAATTAATTGTGCAAGAAATGAACTCATATTAACTGTAAGATAATTTCTGATTTTTTTCCCAGCTAGGAATAGTGTATGAAAATGTTAAATGAGTTATATACCATGACAAATGTTCTTCCATTCTGCCTTCCGTAGCATAGTTGCTGTATGAATTGCTGTGTTCACTTAGTTTTTATAAAGGAAACAACATCAATAGCAGCAACAAAAAGCAGAAGGGATTCAAAGCAGGCATTTGCTTCACTTTAATGTTTTGGTGGTTTGTAGAGAATATGACAAGTTTGAAAAGAATTCTTTCATGTTGAGTTGTAATAATTGAGTAGTACCAAGATAAGCTGAAATTCTATTTAAATAAGTGAGGAATTCATATGTATGCATATGAATAATATATACGTTTTTCAACATACAAGATAGTTTATAGGAATGTTATATGTTTTGAGATTGAGTACTGAGTGTATCAGAGCTTAATTTATCCTTTGCTACTATTAAATGTAACTTCCTACCATAGAACACATTATTTTTTGTTTGTGGGTTTAGATAGGAGTATTTGTGCAAAATCTAATTGTTAGGAAGTTTTAACACAATGAAATGCTGATTAAGTTTAAAACCATACCTTTTATGTTTTATGATAATGACATCTGTAATTTTAAACATGAAAAGTTTTTGTGTGAATCATTTTATGAAGGCTTATTAATCTAATAAATATATATATATATGCTTAAAATTTTGTGCATAATGCCTGGTAAAGATGAATCATATCCATTACATTTGGATATAGGACTCATAATCAAAACATAAATAAAGAAATGAAAGTAATGTTTGGTAAATAATAGCATAGAAGATATTTTTCCTCTCAATGATAAATTATTTAAGGTTTTTTTTTTTTTCTGTAGCATCAATCATACTGAATTTTCTGACTTTTTGGTGATGTTATGTTCCTATCCATTAAAAAGGATGAAAATGAATAAAGAAAACATTTGTTTCTATATAGGGCCATACGTGAATTTTTTAATGTTTTATCTATTTATAAAACACGAGTTCTAGAATGCTGAAAAAGTTCACTAAATCCATCAATGATAACTATGTTAGGTCATTTGAAAATACTGTTTGCATGTAGTGTATTTTTATAAAGTATGAGCCAACTTTTCTTCACTATCTAGACATTAAAATATATTTCATTGAAGCTTTATATATAATTAATTCAATTTTTTCTTATATAGCAAGGATTTAGAATGAAACAAAAATTTGTTGGAAATGAATCTTTTAAGAGGCACTGTAAAAAACATTATACATTGGAAAATAACACTAAAGAAAAATTCATATATATGGATCATTTTTTAATGAGATTAAGAAGGCAATAATAGCCAAGGATAAAACATATTGCATATAATAACAATGTAAGGTTATCATACTTTGTCTTAGGTAGAAGCTGAGTATTGGTAAAAATAATAAAGTTTTAAATTATTTAAAGAATAGCTATCTATGGATTGAAATTATTATTATTATTAAGTATACTTTATGGTGTTGATCACAGAATTAAAAGTAGTGACAGTTATTGATGACTAGATGTTTTTTCTTTAATATGTTTGCTCTGTGAAATTTCAATCTTGCTTGCATGCTTTAAAATTCCTTCACTTTTGAGCTGGGTGGCTAGATTGTGATTCCTTTGTGAGTTCTTTTTCCCTTTCTGGTACTGCATAAATTTAGTACAATGAATATACACAGCTTTGATAATCACCAAAAAATGGGAATGGAAAGAAGCAATGGCTTACGACCAACTAAAGATGAAACTCAGGCTATCATTTCTGGTTAACCTTCTCCAATATACCATTTGTTTGAAACTAACAAACTAATAAGCAGGCTCTGCTTATTCGTAACACAAATACTGAGGTGGGTTCATCAGGAAGTCAAATGGCTTGCAGGCTGAGGGGCCACACAGCTTTGCTAATATTCATATGGCTGAGCCAGGTTTTGGGTGAATATTCATTAAAACAAATTTTTTTGGCTAAAAAAATAAATAAAAATAAAATTCCTTCACTTTTGAGCAAAGATTATTTTGGACAAGTGGTAATTATTGGCTTATCTAGCACTACTGCTTGACTTATTCATTTTTATGGCTTATAATCTTTATTGTAATTTATTTGATTGCAGAAATGAGTGGGTACAGTACAAATGCTCATCATCTTCTTGTAACAATGGGAGAAATTGGAATATTATGCTTGGATTCTAAATCTGTTGCTTACTAACTTCCTTGTCCATAAATAAATTAGTGGTTATAATCAGTGATAAAGTATATGAAAAACTATTACAAGAAAACACATTTGCCTGGTTTCAGTTGAATACAATGAATTGCTATTTATAAATACAAAGTTGATGTCGGGACTTCATTTTTAGAGAAGGTATATTATACTACCAACAGTTTCCATTTTAGAGTATTTATTTGTGTTCTTGATGCTTCATGTTGACCCTTTCTATCCTCTGATAATAAATTTTTATTGATTCCATTGCTCTCTACAAACAACTTATCTCAACCAAATCTCATAATTATGTATAACCTAAATGGCATATTAATTGGAATATACATGAATAAAATACAGCTCAGATAATAATGTGACTATATGCTTATATATATATATATATAATGGGAAAAGAAAGAACAGTATTTCTATGTCATTTTCTTTTGTTCTGGCTTATTCTGTTAGAACATTATCTTAGCTATTAACATTTTGAATATCTGATGATCTGTTAATAATTTTGATTTGTAATAGAGATAAATATAGAGTTGTATGTTTCAATGATCTATTGCTATTGAGGTAAAATAACCCCAAACTTAATAACTTAAAGCCACAGTGATTTATGACTTCTCAGGTCTCATATGTGGGTAATTCTTTTGCTTATTATAAACAGAGGTCACTCATGTAACTGAATTCAGCTGGGAGTGTGACAGGGATTGGAAAGTCTAAGATGATCCCTGATATTCCAGGGCCTCTCTTTATATGTCCTCATTCATTAAAGAGTTTGACTCAAAAATTTTTAGAGTACAGTGGTTGACTGACGAGGGAGTTTTTCACATGACTAGGTATAAAGTGAGTTTACAAGGGGACCGCAAAAGGGCTGAATAACTGGAAGTATGTTTATAGGAAGCTGCAAGTCTAAGTATACTGCAGTCTTCTCTCTCAATTCTCATGACTAATGCCCCTCTTTCATGCTCAAAGGCTCATATCCTCCCAAAGATCTATTCCATTATGACATTGTGTTGAAGTCCAGAAGAGCTTCATTGGAATCACTTATGGATGTGAATGAAGCTTCCCAGCTAAAGCGTCCTTGATCTGGAGAACTAAAAATTATACAAGACGCCATTGTTCCTCATGTGTACCACACATGGGCAGGAATAGAATAATTGTAAAAGATCCTCATGTCCCTAAAAGCAGGAGATGTAGCAGTCACTGGTTCATTGTGATTTAAGAAGGCCACGCCTTTAAAATGGCTTCACTCACATGTCTGATGCTTCATCTAGGATGCTGTAAAGTCACTTATTGTGTAAATCCTGATAGCACTTTTAATATATTTCATTTTAGGAAAATATTCTGTGTTTTTTCTTTCTCTTTCATTGAAAGTAGTTGGTCATCATTGCCTTTCAAGGGGCTTCACAGTTTGGTCATATCCTGTTATTTTCTGACTTTGGCAAGTCCTGTCTCCTGTTCTGTTTTTGTTACTTTTGAATAATCTATGTATTTTTCCTGTCTCTCGCTTTTTTTCATATTTTATCTAACTGCTTGCATCCCTTTCTTCTTCCTTTTCTGTGGTGGATTTTTATTCATCCTTCAAGGTCTAACACAGATATCATATATTTGGATCTTCACAAAGTTAATGTCTTTGTCATCTGTGCTATAATTTGTACTAATGTGCCTATTTTACCAGGCCTGTCAGATAAAAGAGATATATTTAAAATCATTTCTTTAATAAAGAGTAAGAATTTTGTTGATGTCAATGATGAGTAGAACCAGGTTGTACTGAACAGTTAAAGGTAGAAGTCGTTGGTATACCGACAACATGCTGTTTCTTCTTATTTCTGTGAGACAGGAAACTTTTCTTCAGGAAGGGCTGTGATATTTCAGATATGGAAAGCCATTGAAAATATGGTTATCCCTCATTTTATGAATCATGATTCTAAGGTGTAGAGAACAGAATTTTATTCCCTGGGGAGACTCAGTAAATAATCCTAGATTTATAACTAAAGCCTTGATAATTCTCAATCTGGTCTTTATGTGTTTTCTGCCCCTCACTTCCTCCCTCCCCTCTCCCCCTTCCTTTTATTTCCTCACTCAAAGCACTTATGCTCTTATTATGATGCTTTAACTTTTCCTGCCTGCCACAGTGCAGAGGCCCCAGTTGCTCATCATTAATTAGGCCCTTTTTGCTCCGTTTGTTTTGTGGAGTCTGATACGGGCACTATTAGAACAGTGTCTACATGCTGCTGAGAATAATGGAAAAATACAGATTTATCTGGAACTTTGTTGTTAGAGATAATAAACAGGAAAAATTACAGTGAGGTTTTAGGAATAATCATTACTTATTTAAATACATTTGCGAACTCTTGGCCTACTATGTAACAAAGGTACAGAGGAGCCTGGCAGGCTACAGTCTGTAGGGTCACAACCAGTCGGACACAACTGAAGCGACTTAGCCCACGAGCACACATTTTGTCCTAAAAGTTATACTACTAAGTGTTTCCAACTGTGATTCCTTTCTCTGTAATGTTGTTAATATCCAGCTAGATCCAAATTCTAGAAGCACTAAAGAAAGAAGCACTTTTTAAAAAATTAATTACTGTATTTTTAATTGGAGGAAAATTACCTTACAATATCATGGTGTTTTTTGTCATACATCTACAT